ACATCAAATGAAAACTAAAAGTTTCAACGTTACCATGGCCATTCAGTATTAACAAGTGGTTCATGCATACCACTAGCAATAACAAATAGTCGATTAAAAACTGCAATATAGTCAAAAAGTCGATTTGGTCTTGTTTCAAAAAAATCCCAATGATCTAATAAATTTGGATTTTTTAGCGCATTGGATAAAACCGAACGATGAAAATGATGATAGCTGTATGAGTTTTGAAGATGTGCATCAGCTGTTACAACAAACTAAATTTTACTCATATCAGAGCCAATTCAGATAGAGAAAAAAAAGAAACACCATTCTTACTTTGTCATAATAATCATCCAGTGAAGCATCATTGGACGAAATCGATGCATAACCAATCGCCGTTGTCAATGCATTCAATTTCTCTTTGGCCATGTTTCTTGTTTTTACATCAACCATCCATTTCGCATTTTTATCAATATAGGTCTTGAATGATTTGATTAATTCATTTGAGACTGTTTCTACCTATAGCAAGACAAGCAGTACATATTATTCTATTCAATGGCAAGCACAATATGATTATACCGTTGTAACTGCATTAGAATATTTTGTTGAATTCATCGTATATAAACGTTGAATGGCAAATGGAAACCGACGAATAACTTCACGTGTACAATAATCTTCGTTTGTCGAATGCAAAGTATAACCATAGTAAGCAGAAAGATATTCTCGATGTTTATGAACATAACTGTATGGCAAATCATTGATGTAGGTCGCAACAAGACGCCATCGAAGATAATTATGAACCATTCGGGCAAACAACGGACTTAATGTTATAGAAAGTGAATAATCTTTGACTAGGACAAGCAATTATATGCATACTTGTCCAGCTCTGTTATCAAGTCAAAAGCGTCCAGAAAGTACTTGTCGTTTGTCAAATAGATTGGTGTCAGTTTTGAGATACTATCTGGATCGTCTAATTCATGGGAAATTAATCGATCAAATTCAAACTAGAAAGAATTGTATGTTTTCTGTAGTGATTTATTTTGTTCTAGTTTACTCTAAAATGTGCTGATATATTTTGTAAGTCGGTTGTTATTGGCGCATTGGTAGTAGGATTACGTCGAAGGCTCTAAATAATCGAATGATAATGTAGCCGATTTGAATCAATTATAGTGAAATACGTACGTCTGCTAGATATCTTTCAACACTAAATACGTCACCTGCAACAGTGACCGCTCGAATTTCAACATTTATATCTGTTATTCCTGCATCTTTAGCAAGTAGTTTCATTATGTCAGCAATATATATTTGGAACGCTTCACGACGCTAAAAGGCAAAAGGCCACAGAAATACAAATAATATCATGTACGGATCATGACATGTAGAAGTACTCGAAGAGGCTGATGTTTTATGATAGAACAAACTTTATTACTAGGTGCATCTGTTACAGAAATCTTTCATCATGTTTTGAAATAGATTTCAAGCAATGTTACTTACTGGAATTGATATGGGGCCATCATCCAAATAGTCGCTTAGTTCCATTGATAGAGCAGCGGGATAAAACTTGATAAAGAAAAATATAACAAATATCAATTTAGATTTCGTGAAATATGATTTGAAACGAGTGTTTGAGTGTATATATACAGTAGAAATTTACACAGAGAGCTCTCACAGACTGTGACAGGCATTCTGATTAATTAATTAACTTTTCGTCACAGTTCATGGCAGACAACTTCAATGATGTATCGAGAAGCATGTATAAGTAGCATCTGATTGGAATATATATATATACTAATGCTGCAATAATAATTGACTAGAAGAAGTAGAGGACTATCTTTAAAAGAAGACAATGAAGTTACGAATGTCAAAATGGCATGCTTAAGCAAAAAATCTATTGATTTAATGCAGTATGCAACTGTTGAGTAAATTCAAAAAGAAATTAAGATTAAGAAGACATTATTTTTGCGTAAAAAGCTTTGCAATGAATTCGATAAACTAATTAAGGAGAAAACAGCATGCCCGATCATATTACAGTACCTTAATTTTCTTCTTCAAATTAAAATGTTTTAGTGAAGATTTAAGACAAATGAAAGACAAGTGGCTTGCCTAGTCTATCACAGCTCGGTAAACAGTGCGTATGCTTGCCTCAATCTAGTAGGATGATGGCCTGTTGGTATCTCTGCTATGAAATATTTCCCTGTTGAAGTTGTAGACTGTATAGTAAGCCATGATATAGAAATATGCCTCACTATGTAATTATAAGAGAAAGAATCAGGTTTTAGGCAATTAGCAACAATATTTAGATCATGTTTCATATTCCTAATCTCACAGGGCTTATGCTAACAGCTTTTTAAGTATATTTGTTGTACTTCTAGACGTTTTATGGTTGGATCGTCTTCGTCAAATCTTGTACGTATACCAAATACAGCTAGGCTACCTGATGGACATATAAGCATTATTTTGATATAAAAAAAACTTCGTTCACTTGCCAAGATCGCCATGAATATGAGACAGTTGTTGATATAAAGTTTCATTTTTTACTAGAAATTCTTGACTCGCATTTTCAGCGCTATTATCCAACATATACCATCCATTAACCGTAGCAGGATCTTGTATAAGTGCTATCATGTATGATGCAGTATTGTTCACTCGTACATAATCATCTCGACATTCAGTGTAATAGGTCTAGATGAAATTTTCATTTCGTAGGAAAATAATTTTTAATCAAAAGCAAAAACTGACTTTAACTTTATACTCCCAACTTCGTTCATTCGAACGAATTATAGGTGAATCAAGAAGACGTTCGATTTCCATATCACGTCGATCGATTATATCACCAAGTATTGTTCGTTCAACATCAAATGATTGAATCGGATGAGTTTTTTGCCAACCACCACATGCATAAGTATAAAAATCTTTACATAAATTCGATGCGACTGTACTATCTGCCGAACGTAATTGATGTGTAGCTGCTGAAATACATCCTTGAGTAAGACAAACTTCATTTTTATTCTCATTCTTATTGTTATTTGTATTGTCATTTTTTCCATTGTTTCGTGCTTGAACAATAACAGTGATAAGCAATGCAAGGGAAAGGACACCAAGAAATATAAAAGTGCCAAAAAAAACTCTTCCAGAAGTTGTGCGATTACGACCAGCGTTAACGACAACTCCCTTCTCATCAAGTCCAATAATCTCGGGTATGCTCCGCATTTTTTGAAAGTCTTCTTCTTTTGACTTAGACTTCTTTTTATTTGATGATGATAATAAAACAAAATTTCAACTCTATCAGTGATGAAGATAACATAATTTTGTGTTATATATATATATTTGCGCGAGAGCAATCTTCTTTTTTTCTTCTCGAATAAGAAATGAAAGAACAGATAAGACTGAATAAACACTAATTCAACTGAATGCTGTAGAATTGTATCTCTCAGTCTTTCGATAAAAATAAACTAAATGGTTAATCGAATTTAATATTGGAGCAATTAGATACGGAATATTATCACAACGATCGCTTATTTCATAGAAATTTTACTATTTAAGAGACATTTGGTTTTTGTATAATTATTTATTCTGATAGAGGTCGATCAATTTCTGTATTTATGCATGACTGAAATGTGCTGCTTAAAATACATGCGGGGAAAGAGGAATTATTTCTCTACCGACTTCGTATTTATTAGAAACAAAGAATGACGAAACGCTGTAGTCTCATGTCTGTGTGCATCCGGGGACTTATTACAATTATTTCATCTTTTGTGAAGTTCAGATATATTTTCGAGAAAACTAATAGCTCACTTTAGCTCTGGATATGAGTGAAAGGACGTTGCATGCTGTGCCAACAGCAGATTTCACGTGTTTCTGTTTGAATTCCACAACGGTAGAGATAACTCTGAGCAACATAACAATTCGCTTCGAGTATTGTTTTAAATTCAAATCACTGAAAAACTGATGTAAATATTCACACCGTTAGGTAGAGATGCATCAATTAATATAGAGAAACCCTCTCTTTCTTCAAATGAAACTGCTACGTTGATGGTCCTTTTCAGATCACTACATATTCCTTTCTATTTTTAAACGCTGATGACAACATTTCTTACATAAATTTGATTCTAGATTGCATGACTATGAACATCGTCTTTTTATTTCTGTGAAAATTTTATTTTTAACAACAACAACAACAAGAACATTCAGAATACGATAGTCAAATGGACGAACAACCACAGAAAAAAGAACTCTATATGACAACAATATAATATTTGTTCATTTATATAGGATAATTGAGTAATACATCTTGTCGTGCTAATTCCAGTAACATTGGATCATCGAAGAATTTATTGATACTAACATCTTCACTAAGACCCTAAAAATAAAAATACAACATAAACTTAACCAACAGTGAACGTTTAATTCTTACTTTTCGTCGTCGTGTTTTAATCATAAATTCTCGTGCTAAATGATTTACAGGTTGAGCTTCCAATGGTCGAATAACAATTGATTTATCAAGTGGATCACCAGGAACAATCTAAATAGATTATCATACAGAGAAACGCGAGCATATTTACGCGGTAGATATAATTCTGATGCATACCTGCCAATGATGAAATACCGACATGCAAAATGCTTGACCTTGCGTATGTGTACGAAGATCAGTTTCAAAACCCATTGAATCGATAGCTGGAATAAACGCTTTAAGCGTGTAGAGTGGCGAACCCGATACTGGCGCATCAAGTGTAACATGACCACTATTCAACCAAATTTAATGAGTTTTCATTATTTTGAATTCAAAAGAAAATACATACCGACGACGGCCAAGTACCGTATAAACAGCTGATACACAATCTGCTGGAGCAATGACTTCAACGAAATTGTATGGCTCCATAAGACGAGGAGTTGCCTAAACCGGAGAAAAAAACAACAATAGAAAAGTTCATGGATGGATTTATACGAACAAGTAAGAAAGATGAATAAGCCACACGTCGAGCTGTTGGAATCAATTGGCCACGACCATGATGAATTGGTTCTTGTGCAATCGATGCATCGAGAATTTTAAATTTAACATTTCGAATTGCTAAAAACGTTCTTCATATTGATTTAAAAAGAAAATCATAGAAAACATACGTTCATCACATAGAGGTCCTTCCCGGGTTGCCCATTGAAAACCTTGTACGATGGATTCTTTAACAGGTTCTGATGTTAATAGTGTTTTATTAACTTCATGTGATAATGTATCATCAAGAAGAATATTCGGTCCATTTATATCTGGTCCAAATGCCCAGATCGAGCGACTAGCAAGTATATCCCATTCGTAACGATTTTGAAAAAAATCACTGATACGTTTATTATTCCAACCGATTTGAACAACTTCTTGTTCAATATCTTCAGCTATGCCTTTTTCTAGTGGTTCTGCTATCATCGTTAATTTATTTCTGTAATGAAATAAAGAAAAATGAAATGCGTTAAAAGAAAAACCTTCTGTTTTTCTATGTTTTACTTTTTATTTGGTGTTTCAGCAAAACATTTCAATGACGATGTTTCAACAACTGTTTCACAGAATGTTACAACAGGGTCGGCAACTTTGATTTCTAAATCAATGAAAATAATTTAATTTAGTAGACAACGAAAAATTTAAGACAAACCTATTTCTGAATACATTCGACGTAGATCATGCATAACACAATCGAGATAGAGTTCACCTGTGCCAAGGATAATATGTTCACCAGATTCTTCGACTTTTGTATTTAATAATGGATAACTTTTATTGACTTTACGTAGGCCATCTAACATTTTGGGTAGTTCAGATGGATTCACCGGTTCAACGGCTATTTTTATCACCGAAGTTGTATTAAATTTTAATGGCCGAAATATTTGAACCTAGGAAAATAAAAACAATTTCTTATAGACACAATTTTAGATGTGCGTAAATTTTCATAGGAAATTGTCGGTGGAGAACGGGGGAAAACATCTCATTTATCCACATAATGATCAAAGTCAACTGTGATTTGCATTGCAAAATTAGATAGATGCTTAAGTGTACGACTTACATCATCAATATTTGTAACATTCATTCGATGATTGCGCACTAAACCCGAGTTATCAACAATAGTTGATGTTTTAACAATGGATTGATCAACACCTTCAATTAATACCCAACTACCAGCTGGGACACGATTAAGTTCAATACGATATCTAAATAAGAACAAAGAACAAATTTCCAATGCCAATAAAAACCAAAGTACACTAACCGGGCATTAAATACCCATAATCGTCCAACTGCACATGAAAATGAATCTTCCGGATCTTTCAAACTATAATTTTCACCTAGGATTCTAACATCTTGACCTGATTTCAGTGTACCACAAAAAATTCTTCCTAAGACATGAAATGATGTTGCATCAGATGTTGAATAATTTTTCGTTGTATGAACAATTACAGGTGCCTAAACGAAAAAAATTTTAAATATTTCACAATTGACTTTCGAAAATTCGCTTTAAAAGCCTTTATTTAACTTACATTAGGGTTACAATTATTCATATCGGCTACAATATCTTCTTGTAAACTACCGGTATACAAATGTTCAATTTTAGCTTTTGCATTTTTAACTGGCGATGGAATATGTTGTACAATCATATCAGTGAAACCTTTGAATTCACCGAAACATCGCGCACAAACAAGCCGAAGCAACGGACGAATATTAAGTTTTAATTCGGTTTTTGTTAGGCGAATTCCTAATTCGTCGATAACACCCGGAAGTGTTGAATCAACATCACCAACAACCTATAAAAATAAATTTTTGTTTTTGTTCTAACTCAATCAAAATAAAATAATTTACATGTGCAAGAATTTTATAAAGTGGCTCAAGAATAAATTGAATAAATGAACGAGATGCACTAGCCGTAGCACCTTTTTTACCAAACGTTCGCCTATTAATATAATAGAATGAATAAATTACATAGAATAATTTTATTTCTATTCACTTTTTCGCATCATAATAAACATCGCCCCATAATCGTTTTGCTAATGCTTGATAATCAAATGTATTACCTAAAATAATTCAATAGAATTTATATTCCAAAAAACAAAATTTTTCGCTTTACCATGTGTATCCGCATAAATTTTCGCAAATGATTTCAGTGTAAAACAAAATCGATAATACGAACTGGCAAAACATACATTGTTAAGTAACGGTGAGACATATGAAGCAGTATTTTCATCTTCTGAGTATGTTCTAAAAAAAACAAACATTTTCAAATCGACTTTCATTTTTATTGCGATAAAAAAATACATCATAACTTTATTATACATACAAATTTGCATGTCATTGAGTGCACTTTAAAGAAAGACTTTATGAACGATAGGCGAAGTGTTTTTTTGTACATTAGAATGTCATTGTAAGTCTTCAGTTCAGTCTCAATTTCTATGGCTTTTCATTTCTCTATCTGTGATAGCTACCGGTAAGAGTCAGTAGAAAGTTTTTGACAAAAAACAACCTTCAGAAAAAATCATTCGTTTTACAATAGGAAGCCAAAGACTTCCTCCGATTAAAATTCCTTTTGTAGAAAACAAAATTTTCCTATCCGATTGATGAGTTACTGACAAATTAGGACACCTTCAGGGAAAGAGGAAAGATCACTCACTTGATTAATCCATTGACTTCATCAATAATATGTTTGATTTTGAAATACGCATCTTGTGGTGGTAATTTAAGTTCGAGTACAAGACGATCAATTTTATTGACACATAATGTAATCGCTAGACGTTCTTGCATAGCATGTTTAATTAGTCGATCTGTATTGAGCATAACGCCTTCGTGAGCATCGACAAAAATAACAACACCATCGCATAGACGAAATGCAGCTGTGACTTCATCGGAAAAATTCACGTGACCCGGTGTGTCTAATATATTGAAAAGATAATTTTTATCTTTGAGATCTGGCAAAAGGATTGTGAATGGTGTGGATTTAATCGATACACCACGTTCTTGTTCAGTAAATAATGTATCAGTATATCTCAACTAAAAAACGACAAGATATGATCGATATCGGGAGAAATAGGAGAACGCACTTCTTTATTTTCTGTTGATGCCAAACATGGATGAGTTTGTTCAATTAATGAATCACAAAAAGTTGTCTGAAAACAAAAGAAAAAAATTAAAGAAAAAAAATTGCGTTGTTTTTTTACTTTTCCATGGTGTAAATGTCCAGCAATAGCAATATTTCGCAAGAGCTCGGGACTATCCATTAAATCAGCTAAATATCTAAAAATGAGATGGAATTTTTTTTTCTAGAATTATACTCATTCATTTATTTACTCAAGATCATAAACTGTTTCCGGTATTTCTTGTTCAACAAACGAAAATTTTGCCTTTTTGACTGGCGCAATAATCGGTTCAGTTAATGCTTGTGTATCTTCTTCTTGAACAACAGTTTCAACTTCGGGCCCATAAAGTTCTAGAGCACTTGGATAATATTTTTTATCTTCATGTAAGACAACAGCTGTCGATAAATTTGACACATCAATGGCTTCATCTTCGCCTCCAGCATCATCACCATCATCTTCCTAGAAATTATCTAATGAATCAATCGATCGCTTAAATTGTCTACAAACCATATCACTTGTTTCACCAACATTTGATAATTCATGTCGATAACCATTTTGTTGTTCATCATCTTCTTCGTCCGATTCCAATTCTGGACCCATATAGTTTCCGAATTGATCATAGAGATCCGTTTGATCCATGTTTACAACAAGAAGAAGAAAAAAAAATTTATCTGAAAACAAACAAATCTTAATCTTTATGTAAACAATTAAGTAAAATAAAGATCATCAATGAAATGTTAAATATAAATCATAAATAATTGATCGATTAAGTTTTATAAATAAAATATTCAATCGAAGGTTAACACAACTTTGGAGTTCCTTTCCTCAGTGTCCTATTTCAATAAACTTTTATACCATTTTGTATAAATAGAAATTACATCTTCAAAGGTGAACAATTCTTGTCAAAAAGTTCTATAGAAATTTCTTTATTAACTTGTTCAAGTGACCGGTGACGAGAAATAATAAACTTATGTTCGTATGAAATGTTTTTGTTTGTCTTCGGACTTCCAATAATGGTCATGTGTGCATTCATTCTATTGTTGTTATTTGTCATAATGAATCTCTATCAATATTTTGTATAACTAAAAAGTGGAAGAACTCAAAGAATCGATCATTGTAAAAATAATAATCGGAATCGTAACGAATATCTTGCGTAGGTTTTTTTTTGGGGGGGCATTTAAATTCAATGAATCGAATATTCATTATCTTGATTAATTAAAAGTGCAGAGAAAAAAATGTGATTTCCTTTTCTCTTTGTTTGCATCGAAATATCTATTATATACAAATGCTTCGAATCAATTGAAATGTATCCAATTGCAAGAGCATAAAAGGAGAAGAACATAAGGTAAAAAAAGGAAATCTGATACAAATGATTATGCAAGAATAACAACAACACTTTAATCCCAACAACGACTCGTCGAGTCGATTGCGGTCGACAACAGAAAGTCCAATTGTTGCATCATACAATTTTTCTTTCTCAACAACCTGCTCGATGTCCGAAAGAACAAATATAGTTGATCAAGTGTAAGTAATCATTTTCAAACAAACTTGAAATAAAACGAAGAACAAAAAAATATACAATTGAGTAAGTGAAATGAAATCAATTTTTTTTCCTGTTGTGTTCATATAACACATATAGATTTTCATTATTTTACAGAACACTAATAAGAGATGATATATCATTGATCATTATCTAACAATAACAACAGGCAAATTTCACCAAAAAAAAAAAGAAGAGAAATCTATTTCCTTTTGTGCCTGTTCTATTGCTATTCGTTGTAGAAAAGAATTCCAATTGTCATCAACCTTCAGGTTACCTCATTTATTTTATATATATATTCTTAATACATTTTTCTACACGTCCATGTCTTTCATCTAATCCTAATATTCTTGTATATATATATATATATATATACGAATTGATAATTTGTCCTATCGTGTCGACATATGCACATACATTTTAGCACTACTCCTGTCAATTCATAGTGCGTTTGTATTTCAAATACGATGAATATATACTGAGACGAGAGAGAAAGAGAGTGAATATATGCATAACGAAAAAAAAGTCGTATACACATTCGTATATATATATATGGTAGAACTTTCTCTTCTGAGTTCGAACTTCGAAGAAAAGAAAGGAATAGTTACCTCCTTGCTATTATAATGATTACTATGTTCAACAGCAAGGATTCAAGTAAGAAATTAATGATTTCCTTTTTTCTCTTTCAAGGTTATTCCCAGAAATTTAATAATATTTATTACCTACAGTCAACATTGAGGCTTATCGGCTATAGAATATGATCTTAGAAAGAAGATTAAATAGAAGATACTAAATATAAAAAGACGATTTAGAGATCATATTTACTTTCAGAAATAGCACATCGTTATGAAATAAGCTTAAAAACAAACTACTAAAATATGTTTTAACCTTTTCAAACACATTCATTCGCTTGTTTTTTTCTCATTTGCATAGATTGAATGTATCAAGTTCGATAAATAACTTTTTTTTTCTGTGTCAAGTTCTCTTCATTTAAAAACTGTTGATTGCACAAAGAAAAAGAAAACAATACTAGGTAAGTGACTGTAGACTTAACAACAATACATAGTTTATATTCTATCGATTTATTAAAACATTCTTCTATTCATAGTGAAATAGATATGCATCGAGGAGTAATAAAAAATTCATGGCAAGATTTACATGCAATGACGAGTGCACGTCCGAATAATAAAAGCTTCGGTTTCGATAAGCAATCAAAACAGACTCATCATCAACAACAAACAAAGGCTACATTCTATTATGAAACAGATCATTCATCAGCGCCCTGCAGACCACTTTCGTCGTCAATAAGTTCTATAAATAACCAACATGAACGTGCAAAAAGCGCTGATCATTCTCAAATGCCATTAAATGAAACAACACCGCCGGCAACATCGTCATCGTGTATTTACGTGAGCACATTGAATAATCCAGCAAAAACAACTTCACGTTCGTCTCGTATGGTTAATTCACGTAGTAATGGCGCCATTGGTACACATGCAAGTACAATCTACATAGAAGAACTACGAAAAACACAACAGGAATGCGAAAAATCTGAATTAAATACGCTAAATACTCGTTTTGGAAATTATCTAGAAAAAATAAAATGTTTAGCCAGTGCTAATGCGGATCTTCGTCGGCAAGTTGATGATGCATATAAAAAATATATGGGACTCGATGAAGAACAACAACAAATTGAAACCAACGGCAAAAATCAAACGATTAAAAAATATCAACATCCGCATGAAATTCAATTAAATAATTTACGAAAACAAATTAATAATGAAGCTCGAGCACAAACACTGATACAAATACGTTTGCAACGTGCTGATTATGATATGAAATTCTATCAAACAAATATTAAATTATTAGGAGTTCATGAGCAACAACAAACGGAACAACTTCGAACCATGCGACAGCAAGTTGAAGGTACTTCACAGGAATTAAAACAAATTCAAGGACAATATCAAAATCGAGAACACGATTTACAAGTAAGAAATATCTTCTACAGGAGAGTCAACATTTATCATTTCTTTGATAAGTAAATCTACTTGAATGAAACCATAACATTCATTTAAAAACGATTACTATTCTTCACCGAAAGAATTAACGAGTTGTAGGGCTTCCTTGGCCAAATAAAGTTCAATGTTAGGACTAGCTCGACAATCTTTTTCAATAAGTCGCGACCTTTACGATTGTACCGTTCACAGTGTGTTTCAAAAATTCGATACGCCCACAAGAAAACAATATTGAGTTCTATAGTTTTCTATTTGTGACGCTCGCTGTGTTTTTCGTATCTCAAATTTCCGCATGCGTTGATAATTGTTTAGAAACAAACGCGTCAAAACTTTCAACTACCGCTCTCGACTAATACACCGGCTTATTTCTATACGTTGCATGTCTAATCCCAATGTATCAGTAGTTACTTGTTCAGTCCTTTTAACATTACTAATTCCCATGCTTTCCTTTTCAATACAGATGTACAAAAATCAATATACTGAATATATAAATAAATTAATCAATTTTTCAAATGAATACGATAAAATAACTTACGAACGAATGGACAATGAAAATCATTTATGCACTCTCAAAGAACAATTATCATTCGAACACGAATATCATCGTCGACGACAAGAAGAATTCGAATATTTAGAACAATTTCGGTTTGATTTAAATAAGCAATTTACTAAAACTGAATTTCATTATATTGTTCAACAAATTCGGTTAGTAAACAATTTGTTTTCTTTTATGAAACACAATCTAGAACTACTATTGAGAATCGCAGAATAAAATATATAGAAGTTTGCCATTATTTTTCGCTTATAAGATCCTTACTGCAATGATGATACTATTGGTTGGGTAGAGAAGTTTTTAATTACGGAATCAACACTGTGTAGCGACCGGTAGACAGTTTATCCACACGTCTATGTATGCTGACGAAATCTAACCTAAGATAAATAGAATAGAAACACTTCTGTAGGATTAACAATGTTTTACATTTCGATACAACATGGATTTATCTAAAGAGTTGTTTTTCTTATGAATCTATTCTCTGTTTAGTAAAGATTATCAAGAGCTCAATGATATACGCTTAAGTGAATTAGAAAAATCATATAAAGCAAAATTAGATTTAGTCCGAAATGAAATTTCAAAACGCGAGAAACAACAAGAAACAGCAAAACCACAAGACATTCGAATAGCGTTAGATTCCATAAAGCAAGAACATCGAACATTAATCGAACAAAATCAATTACTCAAAGACAAATCAGGTAAATAGATTTCGAGACATTTTCTTTTCTCGAAGAACAATTTTCGTTTAGAACAACTTGAAAATGATCTTCGTAATGTTACTGAACAAAATCGTCAACGTTATGAAACCGTCGATAGAGAATATCAAAAATTACAAAGACAATTACCAGAATTAGATTGTATTATTGTACATTTACGTGAAAATGCTGGTAGTCTTTGGTCAGAAATTAATACCTATCGGTATCTCTTAGTTAATCTACTTTCATCACCAAATGATAAACCACATAAATCTTCAGGTCCTTGCTCGCCTCCTTTAGCAAAGGAGAGTAAAAAAGCAACGGAAAAAAGCAACTCATCAACCACAACGGAAAATAAAAATCAAGAATCGAAAATTTCAAAATCGATGGTTAAACCAATGATTAATCAAGTAACAAAACCAACAGTAGATACAAAAGCCAAATCTCCACAACAATATCGGGATGAAACGACCGGTTTCATTGTACATATTGAAGATGGAATAATATGGGTGCGGATTTAAACATTATATATACATATAAATATGTCTGCGTGTTTAGAAGCAAAAAAAACAAATATTCATTTTAATTTAGTATTAGCGTGTGCTTGTTTTGTTTTAGTTATACGAGGAAAAAACACAATGAAAGAATGCTTCCGAACGTTATAGGAAAAGGAGTATCGGTTTTGCATTTGAAAATAAAGAAGGAAAAAAAGACTTACGTTCTTATCAAGATTTCTCTAAAAGCAGAAGTTATCTAAATATTAATATATCTGAAAAAAGAAACAAATAGATATTTTGTATCGTTAAGACTCGAGACAAATACATTTATCAACATGACAAAAATTTTACAAAAAAGAAACAAAACTATGGATTTTTCAATTTTTTCTTTGATCCAACTTCAGCATTCATACGAAGTACATCGCCAGGAGACGGATATGGACGCATTTGAAACAATTCACCAGTAGCGGTGTCATCGACACCCGTCTTTGCTTTGCCTTTTACTTCAAGACCAGCGGCCCAATTGCCTCTGAAAGAATAAGAATGTAACAATAAATAAATTCTCTTTTTCAAAAATATTTACCTTGGCACATCCGAATAAGATGATGGATCCATCTGAAATACGAAAGATTTATAAAAATTTATTGACAAAAAAAAATCACTTACTGGATCAGCATCGTAGCTCAACATTTTACCGGCTAAAATAAATAAAGATTTTTATGAATCACTTATGAGAGAATTAAACTGATTCGTATAGACAAATCCTTTTATCCTCAGATTATATTTCTATTTCGAAATAGGCTATACCATCTACTTACCAATTTTACGTTTTAATTTTTGTACAGCATTTAAATCGTCTTCGTCTGTATCAGATCGTTCGCCAGCCTTCAGAAAAATAAACAATGACATTATCAAAATAACTCGGTAATTTCTTACATCATTTGAATTTTTCTTTTTTTTCTTCTTTTTCGAGGGCCCGGCTGCTTGTCGTTGTGCGTCTGCTGCTTTCTTTTCCATTTCTTTTTCTTAAAAGAGAAAAAATGATTCATTTACAAAATTTCATTCTTCTTACGCCGTAATTTAATTCCTGATTGTGTGATATGCGAGCGTGGATGAGAAGGCGGTAACCATGAGACTTCATCGGTTTCCAAATTCCAATAATAGCATCGATCTATATTAGCATCAGGTACTTCACGCCAATTGGTTGGTAATGGATATTTTTTCAACATTCGTCGACGTCGTTTTTCGGTTGCTGAATCTGCTGTATAATGTTTAATTCCGTATCTTTAAAAATAAAGCATTCATATTGTCAAAACGAATTAGACTAATAGTACAAAAAATTCAAACCCGAGTATTTTTCTATTTAGACCAATCAGAAGACAAATGTTTTCAAATGTGTTTATTCTAATTTTAATAGTGCATGCATTCAATCTATTTCGCTTAAACTTTCCTAACGCAATTTAACTCCTACGAAGTTAAACCAGAATCTTCTTTCTATTACGCACTACTCAAAATCTCTTCTTCAGATAGAGAATCTTGAGAAAACAATTTTTTTTCTTTACCGTTTTCTACAATATTCAACACAAGTATGATATGGATTCCATTTATTTGGACATTTAATACATTCTTCAAATTCAATTTGAACATCAGCTGCTGAAAAGTTACTTGAAATAGCCTAAGTGAGACACAACATTTTCATAAAAATATTCAATTCAATAATCAATCTACTTTTTTTGGGGCTGTGGCAGCAGGATGATGATCCTCACGTTCATCATAACTTTCGGCAAATACTTCTTCACTTTTTTCATCATTGTCAGCACTGGCATCTAATAAAAAAGAAATTGAAAGAAAATATCGATTTAAGTGAATATACAAACCGATTGCGGCATTGATATTTGCAGCATTTAGAATACCGCGTTCAATCAAACGTGCTTGTAGTGCAGATGAAAGTGGCATTTCTTTTTGTTTTGCTTCTAAAAATGAATTTTTCACAATGTAATTTCATTCGTATTTCTTCGATTGGTTCAATTGGTCAAGCCAATAATATACATACAGAAAAAAGCAAAAAACGCACCAAGGTGTACAATTAAATTCTAAAATTAAATTAGAAAATTGTTTTTTAAAAAAGCAAAATTTTCAGCTGGGTGGTTTATAGCGACCTCTATGACAAAACTGACCATCGCTCGTTCAAAAAGAAATGGACAAATCTGCACTTCAAATGTGTTGATCAATGTTGTCCGCCTTGATTTTTCGTTCCACTAGTAATTATTTATTTGTTAATCCATCCATTAAACAATTATTTCATTCATTTAATTCAATCAATGCTCCGTTATCTGTTAGACAACCATTAATTGATCCAAATCCACCATTAGTTGGTCAAGCGATTGAAATAAAAGAATTTTTAAGAGAAAATTCAATTTCATTCGATGAATCATGGACATGTATCAAAGCACTATGTTGTCGGAGTGCAAATAAACCATTAGGATTTATACATATAGGAAAAGAACGGGGTAATGAAGCCACAAGAAATATAACGGGCGTTCAATGTTTTACGTATTCTAATAGGTGATTTCGCTTGTTTGAAGTGTGCGACAAGTGGGACTTGGGAAGAGTTTAAAAGTCAATTACAAAATCTTCGATCAAGGTTTTAATTATTTGTTTTTTATCTTCTTTAATTGATGTGTTTTGTTTTTATTCTATAGGACATTTTGTCCAAAAGCAAGTCTACCATTGATTCTTCTATCCGGTGAAGAAAATCATATTTGGGAAAAATCAAAAGCAATTGCAGATTGCGATAAAGACGTTCTAAATATCATTCTATCAAGATATGGATTTAATGAGGTGAAATTCCTTGATGTTTAACAAAAGAGCATATTCTAATCTCTTATCTCTCTAGAAAACGAAGATTATCGTTTTAAACATCTAATGAATCTGCAGTTTAAAAATCCATATAAGAAATAAAAGTATTCATTTTGCCACTTAATAAGAATAATATTTCCTGAAATCTATTTTTGTTAGGACTTTTTTTTCTATGCAAAGCCTCCTATGAGAATTATGACAATAATTTAAGTATCAACCATAGTTGTGCAGTCTCTCTGCACCCATCATAGCCTAATTCTATGAATTTTTCTTTCAGGTCTACTAAACACAAATGATCCATTCGCTAATATCACTCAGTAGAATCTTGTGCCCCTAGCTATTGTCTCTTTCTCCTACTAAACTATCTGTCGCAATCAACAACAAAAAAACTTATTAAGTATTTGTAATTTTAAAGGAGTATACACTATCCTATGACACACTTCAACGATATGGTCTTCGAATTTATCAAGATCAACTTATTGCACCCTTGTACGATGCTGACCGATCTCTTGTTGACATTGTTGTTCTTGATCCAATATCCCAGACTAACACTAAGCCTATGTAATAACTTGGTTTTAGCTTTTTTTCCTAAATAAATTTTATACTCTATTAGAAAACTTGCTGCACCATTCGGTTTAAATCTCCTTTCAGCAAGAAATGCTGAAATAATGCTTGTTGATTCTATCTGGGATGCTCTATGTGTTTATCAAACTACAGGCAAAGTAGCAATTGCTCTTCCGAGTGCAAAATTTTCTATTCGAGTAAGATAGAATTTCTATGGCTTTTTTTTATTATTGTTTTCAACTCATTGAATTCAGATGAACATGATTTTTGAACACTTGCGTAAAATTCATATTTGGTATTCAAATGATAAAGCACTTGCTTTTCGTCTTGCCAACGTACTCAGTCCTCATCGATGTTTTATGATAGCGTAAGTAGAATATTTCTAGTTGATGTAGTTAATAAACAGATGTTTTCCTGTAAAGTTATCCAATGGATGCACACGGAGCATTTATGTCCGGTCAGAACTTAAAAACAATAATGAATGACAGCTTCGCTGTGATTAATAAATGTATCGAACAATTCGATACGTTTCGGGAATTGATACGTGATGAATTGCTTCAACGAACACGTTTTGCCGGATTACCGGTAAGCTAAAATGTTTCTCTCACAAAAACAAACCGCAAATGTTCGTTTTATTTCTAGTGGCAAAGGTTTCCTATGCTAACTCAAATTCTTAAGGGCCATCGAGCTGGTGAATTAACAGTCCTTACGGGATCCACTGGCTGTGGTAAAACTACATTCTTAAGTGAATACTCACTCGATCTATGTCTTCAAGGGGTAAATTTATACGTACTAAAAGGAAATGTGAATGCATTTCGAGTGTGCATTCCGCACTCTTTTAGCGAAGGAAAACCTGATAAGAAAATTGTATTCATTCTTTTATTAGCTATCAACTCTATTCGGCAGTTTTGAAATTCAAACGCATCGTCTTGCTAAAGTAATGTTAACACAGTATTCCGGGTATGTTTTCGGAAACGTTATGAATTCGAGTTTATTTATTTATTGTTATTCTGTGAAGTTTGAATCTATCGAAAAATATGGATGTATTTGATAAATTTGCCGAACAATTTGCTCGTATACCAATGTTTTTTATGACATTTCACGGCCAAGAAAGCATTGATAAAGTGATAAATGTAAGTGAAAAAACATTTCGATTTCTATTTCAAAAACAAAAAACAATTTCACGTTAGACAATGGGAAATGCGGTTGCAATTCATAATATAAAACATGTTGTTATCGATAATCTTCAGTTTATGATGGGAATGGATTATTCGAATGGGGATCGATTTTTCAAACAAGATACTTTAATTCATCGGTTTCGAACCTTCGCAACCAATAATAAATGCCATGTTACTATCGTGATTCATCCGAGAAAAGTAAGCAATTTCCGAGAACGAGATTGTTAGATAAGAAAATTATTTTCTTTTCAAGGAAGAAGATGAAGGATTAACAGTTTCGTCAATATTCGGTTCCGCAAAAGTATCACAAGAATCCGATAATATTTTGATAATACAACAAAAAAAGATATCTACTGCAAACGGTGGCAATATCAAATATTTACAAGTAGATTGATATATTTTGCGATAGTTTGATGCGATTGTTTTCAAACCTTTTCAGGTAGCAAAGAATCGATTTGATGGACAACTCGGCCGATTTGCACTACGTTTTGATAAAGAGCGACTGTCATTTTCACGTCCAGTATTTTCAAGAGATGATTCAAATATCGAATCCGATGACCACGAACTTCAACAATCAATCCCTGTTGAACAATAAATAATGATCCTATTATTTTGTTTCTCGGGAATATCGATTCAACTCGGTTTTTCATATGAGCCAGTATCATTTTTTTTTCTTTCGTTATAGAATAAATTATTGTTACTAAAACAAAATCAAAAAAGAATTTTTTTCTTGAAAAGCAGAATTATCAACTATTTTTCTCCGTCAATAGAAAATTCTTCGTTCTTGTTAACGGCTAGTTTTACTTTTGAAATAATCTCTACCTATCAGCCCAAAGTCAAATCAATTGTAAAAATTTCAATTGAAGTTAAAATGTAAATTCTTCAAAAATAAGCAAATCTCGTTAAATTTGCGTCAAAAAGTGGGTTCGTTCTTGTACAAAAGATGTAAATAAAAATATGCGCTCGTCTAATTTCCATTGATATCAAAATATAATTTCAGTATTTCGGTTTACACAATATTTGGCTGTTGGCTCCATGAGTGATTGATCCGAAGATTATTAGAGTGAATATCGAGGTCAGGTGCGTAGCTTTGAGCCTTGTCCTTCTGACATCTAAACCGGCAACCTGTTTTACTGAATACTGATCGAGCATTCATGACATAAAAATCTTTCTCAGCTGATATCGGAGTGGGAGTGTTGTATCCAATCAACTCTTCAGGCACATACTTAATCAATGATGTAACATGTCCTTATTACCAACACGAAGCGTTTGCACAATAATGGTAAGTTGCGAATCATCAGATTGATGATGTGGTCAGTATTTGTAAAAAATGTTTGTTTCCATTTGCTTGTCGATTTTCAAATTGGTCCACAGGGAATATTACGACTTTTACGAAGAAAATTAAAAAGAAAGATTTTCATAGGAATTTTATAATCTTTTATATTTTATTTAGTATTCCTTGTGGTCTTGAAGTTACGAATTTATGGGCAAATTTTAGACGTTTTAATATCCTATGCCCTTGAATAGGATACATCCATCTTATCTGATTTATGTTTTTTATTGTTTGTGACCATGTCCTTCATATGTCTATCTGCTAGTTTTATTATTTCGTTCATTTTGCCGTTTTATTAACTTCTGATAAGGCTGTTTCAATTTCAAACTATTTAAACGTGAAACAGTCATACTGTATGATCACTCCGCGAAATCTTAAAAATATAGTAGTTTGAAACTTCTCTTATGAGAACATGAGTATCAATTCGAGTGTTGTCAAAAAAAAAGAACTATCAGTAATATAAAGCTAATTTCTCAGAACAAGAGGTCATCATATATAGAGTTGACTATCGTCCTGTAGAACTAAAATTCGTTAGGATTTGTTATGGGCGATGGTTTTCCTAGCAAGAAAATACGAATCTAATGGTAAGTTCTTACGATCAATGACTTATGAACATTCTTGTCCAATGCAAATGAGTGATTCCAGATTTTTCATCACATATAGTCGATACGAATATTGGATCGTGTCTACTTGACTATCTTTGTAGATTAATTTTATTTTTACAGAAATCACGATCATACCATTGAACAATGAATGCAACCAAAGTATTTGCAGAGTCAACAAATCATGAAGAATCCATGTAAGTAGACTTTTTCTTAATTCCTCACTATTATTGGCTAATCATTTTTTCACCAGTATCGTAGCGAATTTAAATTTCAGCGTGTACTACTTTACGACTAGCCAATAACACAATAAAAACAAAAATTGTGATTTTTACTGGATATACTTGATCTACCTCTATGTAATCAATGTGTAGAAGAAACTTCAGTGAATTTGTCATCCCATCCACGATGCTTGATAGGAACGTTGCACTTTCTAAAGTCGACTGAGTGTAGTTTTCCCTTTCGTAATCTACATTTTCTGAAGACAATGTGCTTTCTTTCACGATCGAATTTCTACATATATGTACACAATTAGAAGCCTTAAGAAAATTAGGGATGCTCACAATTCGCGTGGCATTTGTATAGCATCGTGTAACTATTAGAACATTATTTTAAGGGGCTGAAATGTCTGTCAATATCAATGCGGTCTTCTCTATGCTAGACTCTTGTTGACGAAAAGAAATATTTTCTTCATTTGCCAATGTAAGAAGCTCATTTCGGTTAATATGGCCGAGAAAATTTTGAGTAAAGAGCAATATTTCCAAAAAGAACTTTAGAACTCCATTAATTTTGACTGCATTCCAACGGTTGTTTTTTTCTGACTATTGTTCTGGCAAAATAAAACGTATGGGTGATTTTCTGAACAATTCTGTCATACGCAATATTGATAAGAAACATAGAAACACCATTGTTCCTACGTTTCACGTTTGTATTGTTTTTTTCTGGTGTGTTTTCGATTGAATATTTTTAGGAGGGATTGAAATTGTCAAATTAAAATGCCCGCACTGAATTTATTCTCTATTATAGGCACGTTACCGCTCAACCCACGAATGCGGGTATTTTGAATACATTCAAGATGTTACCTGGTGAGAAATTCGTGAAACAATGGGACGTGGCCCGATGTTGTAATAGTAATTGCTTTGGTAGACATGCCATCACTCTCACTGATTCACGATTGCTCTCTCGCAGTGAAGCGTGTTCATGGCTCGGCTGTCTTTGTGGCTGTTGTTGTGATCATCCGCATATTGATTCAACTATAAATCTACAAAATATTGCTCAAATCAGAACATTCTCTGGCACTACTTGCTATCTCTGGATTTTCAGAATATGGAATTGTGATATCTGTTGCGTACCAAATGCCCTTGATGTCCGTGGTTCATTCGGATCAGAACTTATCTATGTCGATAGAAAAGAGGAATTTGACGTTCAAGCAACGATTCCATTAACGATCGCAAAGAATGAATCCAAACGTAATGATTAAAGTGAACTTTCAACAATACTGAAAGCAATGACCCTATTGATACTACCATGTACTTTTTTTGTTTCTTTGTTTTTGCTTAAATAGAAATAAATTTAGCATAGTTTAACAGAAAAAATTGATTTTCCGCACGATATTCGAAACGATGGTTTAATTTCTGGTGAAATAGTGTGTGCCTATCTGGATGTAAATGAAGCTTGATAGATTTGAATGATATTCATTTTCAATGCCTGTCACTACGCACAACATATTACATTTAAAAACAATGTTAGAAGCATCGATTTTTATTGTTTGCAGCCATGTGCTTAAATGTCGTTGTCTTTCTCCTTATCTAGCCAGTTTATTTTACATCGTCGTTTTGTATGCTATCAGTGCCACAATATTTTATTGTTTTTCTTCAAGTGTTATCTGGCTTAGTAAAGAAACGGCCTTTCAAGAAATTGTTTTGCTTGCAGCGTCCACATATCGATCGGCTTTATTGTAGCAAGCTTTTTCGTCAATAATCTTGAACAAGATGAGTAGTTCGACTCCGTCGGCATTGATTCAATCGGATACTGAAGAACCCCTCAAGTCGCTGTTGTCATATCGCACAGCTACATTGGCAGACTGTGAAGCTGTATCAACATTAGTAAACAGTGGTTATCGTGGTGAATCATCACGCCAAGGTTGGACCACTGAAGAAGCATTAGTCGGAGGCTTGCGAACACATCCGAGCAAACTAATTGATATAATTAATGATAAAATAAATGTCATATTACTTTTCTTCGAAGAAAGCGAAAATGTTCTGGTCGGATGTGTTCACTTACGACATGAACCAGTCGAACGAAGCGCTTCATTAGGGATGCTGACTGTTAGACCAGATCTACAAGGGCGGGGCTATGGAAAATTTATTCTATCAATAGCAGAAAACTACGTTCGAGACACTTGGGATGTTGCATTTGTGAAAATGGCAGCAATTATGCAAAGACCCGAATTAGTAGCGTATTACAATCGACGTGGCTACATTGATACGGGTCGGCGCGAACCGTTTCCAAAGGGCGATGAGCGATCGGGTATACCAAAAGTTCAGGATTTAGAATTTTGTATTTTGAAAAAATGTGTAAAACTTTCTCAATAAATATCTAAATATGAAACAATATATTGGTTATTGTCTAAAACATGTTTCTTATGAAAATTGTTTTCAGCGGTCTTGTACATTAGTCTCGCATGAAGTTATTTTTCTATCCTATTCATCGTGATAGAGATTTAAATGGTAAAAAACAAAACAAAATTGTATAAAACTGATGAGCACATCAATGAATAATACCGTTTTGAGCATGAGTGTCATAAATTACGATTGCTCAACATTTGAAAGAAGAGGGGTTCGTATGCAACCTTTTTTTATTTTTTACGTCTTTCTCTACGGCGTTTTGCTACTGTGTAGTGTCTCGCAATGAGAACGACTCTAGAGAGAACAGACGAGAATTTTCTCCAGAAATATTCTGTTCGTGTTCAATGATCATTCTGGTCGATAAAATAGATTTTTTTTCTCTCAACCATCTTGAATATCGTATTTCTCATTCACATGAGAAGGAAAGATCAACCCAAAAACTAATAGTTCATCTAATTCTCAGCTACCTGAATGTAAGGTAAGTGCAACCAATAAAAGAGAAGCAATAATTTGTCCCATTTGCTTCCCATATGGCACTCAGTACTTATACTCAAATCCTGCAGGCAACATTTTTTTTCAATTTCTGATTTATCGTATTAATTGATCTAACTAAATTCCTCTTTGAAAATAGCTGCAACCAATTTGGCGGCGTAATTATATGTGAGATGGAATTTATGATTGTCTATAATAAGAATCACGAGCTATTTTGATTTTTAATCTTGTTTATATTATTGAGCTGTTATTTTTTGAGAAAATAAAGACTACTGAAAAAACAAGTTGCTAGATTGTGTAAGATTTTCTATTATCCATGTTTTAACATTTGATTTCGATACTTGAGAACGAAAGTGTTCTTCAATTCGACTAAATTCTCTTAATAAGTCTGACTCTTTTCCAGGTTTCAAATTTTTTAAAATAATCGGTTCAATGGTAACACGATTCGAGATTTGAGCTTGATCACTTGTTAATTCATTTATTTGACGTTCAATCAATATTTTGAGCGTATCGAATGCACTAAAACTTGAACTTGTTTCGATTTTTGTATGAGCAACAGTTTCTTCATCGTTTTCCCAATCGAAACCCCTTTCTTCAAATAGTCGAATATCGATTTGATTAATTAAAATGAGAATATTAATTTGTGTTTCTCGTAAAAGTCTATCGATTAATTGAATCGTGTGACTTTGATTAACATCTGTTAATGTTGTTACAACAATAAATAGACTCGCCGAATTTAATGTCATATCCAACAAAGTTCTTGCTTGTCCTGTAGCATCATCTTGCCCAGGATTATCAACAATATCAGTTGTCAATATTGATTCATCATTAAAGTGAATCAACGCAGGACATTGCAGCGACATTCGAGTATTAAATGCGTCAATGCTACGTAATTCTTCCAAATTTCTTCCAGCTAAATATGTAAATAGAGTTGATTTACCTGTGATAACAACTTTTGGTGGTTTTCTCAGTAAGATATCACGCATTAAACTCAAATGGGAACAAAGCCGCATTATCCCAATCCAATTCCAACGGTGATCTTCTGGTACATTTTTCAATGGTTCGCTAGTAAATATTCGATTCCAGAGAGTATCGCGTTCTTGTAGTGTTTTAACCTTGGTTATTTCATGGATCCATTGACATCCGGATATCCGCATTAGAATTTGCCATTCGTTTTCATTTTCATCTAGATTTTCACCGGCTGATATTAGTAACGATGATGAAACACCCATTAGCGTTTGTCTGACTTGATTGTGAGACATTCTACTTGGATCATCTGACGAATAATAGCATAAACGTGTATTATATCGAAACTCAAATAGAAATTGTTGACAATTTTTAAGTGATTGTTTGAACCATGAATAATTTTTGAAAACAACCATCAAACGATTTAATTTGATTCGAAGAAAAAAGAATGATGCCATTTTTGTGTAGTTCTTGTAAATATTTACGAAGACGAGAAAATTCTAAATCTAACGGTATCAATAGTTCATGCGACATATCTGGAATGATGAAAGATTCAAAGTCGATTTTATTTTCAAATGGCGAGAAAATCCATGATGGAGCATTGATATCTAGTTCGACTGGAAATTTTTCCAATTTAGATTCATAAAAGTGAAATATTATTGTGTTACATAGTGATTGATATAAATATGTTGCAGTTTTGCGCTTTTCATCAGAACCATGTCGTAAATCTGTGAAAGTTTTTTTGAACGAGATTAATTCATTTTTAAAGTATTCATAAACTTCACCGACTGACTGTGGTATTTCAAGATTTTCTAAATATTTTTCTGTGTCATCGAAATAATTACAGCTTTGAATTTCAGTCAAATATGTCGCTAATATCTCATCATATTGGTCATTGTCAATCAATTTGAATGCGTCAAAAAATGTCGAAAAGCATCGCGCCAATGGTGTATCATTGCATTGGTCAACCGAACACGCGTCCAAAACTAATTCATGATAAGCACGTAGTACTGTTGATATTGGATCAAGTGTTTCGGCTGTTCGAAAATGTGGGTTACTTGTGTCCACGAAAACAGGAACTTGCAGGTCGCATGAACTAAAAAAAGTAGTAACACGCATGAAAAATGTTGAATGGCCTTTGAAAAACTTGTTTGACTCTGTTGATCTGTGACATAAAATAGCACGTCCATCTGATTGTTCTTGTGTCATTATAGGTTTTTGTGTTCTTAATTGTTCGGATTCTGCCAACTGAATTGGTAATGTAACAAAACGAATAAAGTCAACTAGAAATCCTTTTAAATAAATGTAATTAGGATACGGATTATTTTCATTTGGTGAGTAAATAAATTCCGATAGATTAAAAATTGACTTTGAACTTGTACTGCTGAGAGGAGATCGCAGTAAGATTTGTGTTGAAAGCTGTCTATTGCCCAATCGTTCATTGACTTCCCCATTAAACAATTCATTGATAGCGAACGGATAACAGCCATGATTTAAAAAGTCACGGTAAGTAAATTCTAACGACCCAGCAGGAATTACTTGTTGTTCAATGAAATAATTGTACCAAGAGCTGGTACTGTTTGCCAAATCTTCCAGCAATCTTTGTTTTTCGCTCGATGATTCACCTATGGAAACAATGACTAATGCTGATAATTCCTTTTTCATAATAAAATGATGACGACCAAATACAGAATATTTGGGAATAAAAACATCGTTAATAACATTTATAATTTGATCAGGACCATCACCGAACGGGTTAGCTGCTTGATCGCGGACCATGTATCTGATAACTTTTGTCGTAAAATGTTGAATTCTACCAGCGAACGCATGAATTAAATCTTTTGTCAGTTCCGTGCCGAATGATACCAAACGGAAAATGGCATCTTTTTCATAAATATAACTATCGAAAACATTAAATCACGACGCATAGCTCGACCAAAAATTATGATCGGCACATTGTGGTGTTCTAAAAGTGACACATCGTAAAACTACCTGATCCATGGTTAAGCCAATTTCAACCAGACATTGTATGACTTGTGCTGTAAATAATTGGCTTACTGCGCCACCAAGTGAATGTCCACTGATAATTACCTTCCATCCTTGTCGTAACCATTTGACAACTGCCAACACAGGTCCTGATTCAGCTCGGCTTGTAAATCCCGCATGTATGTCGCCTTCATAAATTTTACTATCTGAATAAAATTTCATGTTGGTAAATACATCTTGAATAGACTTTGAGGAAACAGTTGCACGAAATACCAATAACACTGTTTTGCTTTGATCATGACGACAAATCAGAAATGGATGTTGTTGTTCGGGAAGAAATTTCGAATCCGAAAACATCAATACGAATTTCGCAGGAAACAACGATTGACATTGAGCAAGTTTATTTTCGATATAGCTTAATTTTGTATCATTGCCATCAACTTCATACATATCATGAAGCCACCAGCATAAATGAATCAATACTCGAGTCCAAATTTTACCTACGACGTTCGAATGAAAGCTTGTTGATCGATCTGTTTGAGTAATATCAGGAAACAACATTTCCTCGTCGTTTTCTGTTGACGACATGTATATTCAAAATGATTTATGAAACAAAATGAAAGAGACAAAGAATAGTAACAGTCAAAAAGATGTTTATCAACGATAGCAAATATTCTGAATCATTTTTTCAATAAACCGTACATAGAAGATGAAGAAAAAAACAAAATCTAAATCGAATAAAACTCATGATATTGACTGTTTATGGCAAGTTCTTTCCATTTCTTATCTAAAATCAACATTTTATGGTCTAGCATGAATAATATCATTCACAATGAATATTAGTTGAATTTAATTTTCCAAGGTTACACTACGGTGTCTGTTCAATGCTACTTTTCTAGCATCCGTTATATATTTAAGAAGAATTTTGGATTGAAAAATCTTGACAATTAGGATAAAACATGAAAATTAATTAATGATGTTTTTTCAAAGAGACTGCCTATAGAGGGTTTAAAGTAAATCATCTTCATCAGTGGCTGGTTTAGATTTATGATCAGAATTTCCATCCTTGGAGTCCGTTGTCGGTCTCTTATCCTTGTGGCGATGAGTAGACGAATGATCAACTGTTTTCTCATTTACTTTCCAGGATTCTTCACGGTTTTTATTTGAGCGATCCGAGTGAGTTTCATGCTTGTGCTGATGCTTTTTTTCATGGCCATCTTGTTTATTTTCACGGTCATGATGATGATGATGATGATGACCTGGTTTCTTATGTCCTTGACAACCACTTTTACCCTTTTTCGAACAATTGTGATGTTTCTTTTCATATTTTTGTTTTTTGTGGTGTTTGAACTTTGACCCTTCTCGTCTATCTTCTCGTCGTGGCTGTGAATTGGGGCTATCGCCTGTATTATTTTCATCGGGAACCATCGGTCCTCCATGATTAGTATTGTCTCGTAATCGATTTCGGCGATCGAGTTGCTTTAAATTTCCTTGTGAGGCGACTTCGTTAGGGCTGCTCCCGTCTGCTATGCCCGCTGCTTGATTGGTGCCGATTTCCGACATTACTACTGAGTTGCCTTTTTTCCCTTTTGACTTTGTTTGCGCATCGATTACTACAAATAAAATCAAGATTTTCTATTTTTTTTCAAGCAGATTAAATAAATAAAGTATATCAAACTGTCTTGTGGCCATTTGCCGTGATCTATCAGTCCGGTGAACATTCTCTGAAAAAAAATCTCACTCTAAATATCTTTCCTTGAACTGCTCAAGTATTTATAGTCAATAATGTTCTGTAAAATTTTAAATAAAGTCAGTTTTATAATTAACATTTTATTTCAAAAAGTTAGTAAATGAATGAGAATCATAGACTTCGCCGAATTCTAGAGTCGATGTATATTTCTTACCTCCGATGGCCAAGAACAGCCATATGGTAAGTAGTGGAAAACACAGAACTGAAGACGCAGGCTTCATCATTGTTTAACTCGTGAAAATGATAGTATATTTATGACTTAACGTTTCGTTCGCTAATCGCAAGCAATTTAATATTGCTTGTTTCTAATCGCAACGAACAGTAAAGGAAACTCAAGAAGATAAACGTTGACTATGTGTTACCTTAGTGACCTTCTGTTCGAATTTCATTCAAACAGCGAATACGAAAGTAATCAATCTACTTAGAAAAGATTATTCAACGAAAACCTATACAATTGTGCCCGACGAGATAAAAATAATGCAGCTTTAATCATGTTAATCATTAATATACTCGAATTCGCCTATGAAAAATATGTAAAAATGGATAAATAAATATAGTCTATCGCTGTTACAATCGTGTGTTGAGTTTCGTTTTCAAGTTTCTCATTCATTAGTCAAGCAAATAGTAAAAAATTACCCTTACGAAGATTCTAATTTTTATTGACAATATGCAATTTAATTACATGTGTAAGTTTTTGTTACAACACTGAACATCGACGTAAACAGTTTTGTTTTCATTGCTAATAAATAAAATTTAATGTTTGCTGGCTAAAGGGTGGGATCCATTTTTTCAGGGTTTTATGGGCATTAGATATTATTTTACTTGTTGAAAAGAAAAGGAAACTCTTAAAATAATTATTATAATAGAGCAACAAGAATGGAAAAGTTCATACAGGTCTAACAGTATTCTGCGTTAGTTCTCCACGATGGACATTCTTTGAAATCCATCTCTGGAAGTCTGGCAACAGTTTGATATAGACCCACGGTGATAGAAGACTTATTAAGTACATGAAATCAAGCGTATAATCTGTTTGAATATTTGCCAGGAAACTTGGAGAAATCATTATTTGAGTGACACCTATAGCAAGACTGGGTAGCCATGCAAATAAATAAAGACTCGAAATAAAGACTAATTGTAATGTCATGCGCCGTTGTTTTTTCCAAGAATATCCCCCTTGTTGACGTCGCTTATGACGAATAACGCGTAGAACAAGTGCAAAATTAGCCAACATAATGACAATAGCTGGTGAACCATTATTCGCTGCCCAATCGTACATACCTAAAAACCGATTGTAGAGAAGATAACAGTTCGCATAGCCACATAAATTCGATGTATAGTCCCATTGAGTGCCATCACATGGAGAGATCAAGATAATAAAAATATAGAAAATAAATGGATAAGTAACACATATGGCAAGAGGAGCATAGTAAAGAACATAGAGATTGAGACGAGATCGAAATAGATTTGCGCTAAATATAAGTGCATGCCGTTGAATGGAAATAGTAGCCATAAGAAGTTCGCTTATTAAATGAATACTATACTCGAAAAATGTCCACCAATTACAATAGCCGGGCGTTGCTGGAGTAACATATCCAAGATAATAGTAGCGTATTGGCATTGGTAGATCTGCGGTCAATTCAACAAAACCAACAATAAGTAAGAGGAGTAACGCTTGATTTTGAAGTGCATTTAACGTAGTACGATGGTTAATGAAAAATACAAAAATCAATAGACTAATGATAATTGCTGGAATTTGTAAACTGATCAAAATGAAAAATTTTGTTCGGTGAAGAACAAATTTGTTGTCTACGAATGTTTCCATTTCGATACGACTTAGTAGTGCAGATTTCGATGAAGACAAATAATGAATTTTATCTTCGGAAGCTTCCTCCTTTAAATATGATGATCGTTAACAAGAAGCTCAGTTAACGGTAGAATAATTATGAATTTTATAATTATTGGTTTAATAATGAAACGCGTTTTGATATTTATTCATGTATAAGTAACTATTTTGTATTCTCGACACAATTAAAGTATACTTCTAGTTTAGTTTTAAACAAAAAGTATAGCTCTAATGAAAGTATGAAATGCAATCTATGCTCTTATAATAGTAGGCGACGAGAAAATTTGAATAGTTTAATATTTTTCATAGTCGAATGAAAAAAAAACTTATAAGCTTTCAAGTTACTGACATGTTCCAATTTTGTTTATCCTGTCAATAGTATCGAAACCAGACAAGTCTTCGGGTAGTTAGATTATTCTCAGCGTGATATTATATCTAATTAAGTTGCTTAGCTTACTTCAAGAAAGTCACTCCTTTCGTTACCGGATTATTTATTGATACACTACGCACGCAATTTAAAATTAGTATAATTACACGACTAGCCTCTAAAATATTTCAGGAAATCATGCAAAGTATCCGGTGTAATGAACGATAGATCGATGAATTCTATTTTTAATTGCATACGATTCTCAAAGAAATGTATTATAACTAGATGGTATCCGCGTTGCACTCGTATACGAAATACGATGCGAAGCAAGAATCTGTATCTTCTACGAAAAATCTTCAATTGATAGACATTAAATATTTTTTATATAGCCATAATGCAATTCATCACCGAGAAAACTCTATTCTTACAGATTGATTTCAATTGATCGATTAATTATCTCGCAACAAATTTCTTTCATTTTCGTCATTTTGGAATCACACTTGTGAGTGAACGGAATATCAGATTGAAGAATAGAAAAAATATGTCAGAAGTTCGATCTCGATACTTTCATATCTAGTTTGAATGGATTTTCTATCATTTACGGTTCTCTAAATTATCGGATCACTGAATGAAAACTTTCGTGCGTACTCAAGTTAGAAAGAGATAAAAAAAACTCGCGATGGACTACAGAAATGCTTTTGTTTCGCATCGTATTAATTATAATCTTTGACGCTCTGTGAAACACCGCAGTTATTCATGCGAGTGTGATTTTTTTTGTCGTGTCCCCTATATTTATAAACAGTTGCTTTTTCTCTGTCACAACGAATCATAATCACCTTTAATTCATGCGAAACAGAATTTTGAAAAAATTCTTCTAGCTTTTTTCTCGAGCTTATAAATGATTGAAAGAAAAATCTCAAAAACAAGTTTTTTTTAAATATTTTATCCTTGATTGAGAAGTACATTAATCAATCAAATTTACTCATTTGGAAAGTAGTACTTACATTCATACACTTTTAAACAATGTAGAAAATTCATTTAATTAATTACTGACAATAAATCGGTAATTTCGAAATCAAACTAAATTTTAGATATTGAAATTTTTTTTTTCTTTTAGTTTTACATAATTTGCTCACGGCAACGATGGTTACCTCGTGTGTCAATATTCACTGACGATATTTATTTTGATTCAGTGATTAAACACGCTAAATATGCTATCCTAAAAAAACAATTTTAAAATAGACGAGATGGCCGAGCGGTTAAGGCGTTAGACTGCTAATCTAATGGGCTCTGCCCGCGTGAGTTCAAATCTCACTCTCGTCGCCATTTTTTTCTTCCTTCAAAAATTTATTTTTTATTTTTTTCAAATCTATTAATTCAATACTGATTTCATCTCAGTCTAAAACAAATGGCGAAGTATCAAATTTTGTACACAGCATTGAGTATGGAGAGACATGAATAACTACGTCTACTATACGAATATCTAATCTACAATGTGAAATAAATGAATGTATATACAACGAATTCCATCTCATAATATGACGAGCAAAATGGCATAACGGGTACTTTTAAAGTAGCATAAGTTGAAGTAAAAAGAACTTATAAAATGACCTGCTGTTAGCTGTCGAAAAATAATTAACAGAAACAAAGTACCAAAATAGTTTTCAATATCTTCTAATGAAGATTTTCTAGACGAGGAAACTAATTCTAGTACGTTGTGTTTCTAACATCTGAGTGATTGATTCTGTGAAGCATATATACAAGCAAATTAATTTATAATTTGAACTGATTGGTGTCTTGTGCAACTTTGTTGTTGCTGTTTCTGTTAGTTCATTATCATGAAATTTCGCAGCTCGATGTTCTGTTTGTGAACCCATAGAACCCGCTGGAAGTCACTGATATAGTAGTGTTTGTCATGGAATAACAAGATTATTCCCCATTGAAATGAATGTAATTATAGTATTGCTTTTATCTTTTTTATTTCATAAAAGGATTAGAAAATGATAATGTAGTTTTTTCTTTTAGTCGTTTGGCCATGCGAGTTCCTATAAAGACAAGAATAACAACAACCAGTTCGATGGCAATTACGACGATGAGAGCGATTGTGCCCCAACAAAGCTTTTCCGGTGACGATGCTGGTGACTTCGGACGATTAGCTGCTAATCTATTGAGTAGAGAACCTAATCGTTGACCTCCTCTAATGATACGTTGTTCAACTACGGGGATATTTTTCATATAGTAGATGTTGCCCAGATGAAAAATGGCTGAAGCATTCATGGTTACATTAGTTTCATCGAAATAAACTTGCTGGCACACTAGCGTTGCACTTTCTATAATCCATTGTTTGAAATCATCATTGTGAATTGTCGGTGTTTGATTGCGCATGAGTGTATATAGATATTCGTAATAGAGATCGAAATTCGATTGAAACTCGTGCGAAATACGCCAATGAATGAGTCCACTATCCCATAGTGAATGAAGATTTGTCTCGCGTGAATTGTTCATGAAGAACCCTATAAGAAAACATTCAACCAATTAACTATTTCTTCAATCCCCAATTTACTGTTACCTTTCACTCTGTTTCCGCCTAAATCTCCTGCGAAGCTAACATGCAGCGGTTGATGAACATCGCCAGCGAAATGAACAAGAAACATGAGTGCTTCTTTATGTTGTATATGATCTAGATCAGCAGCAATCAGCCGCTGTGAGTAATTTCTTAGTGCACCATCGACACAAATGTCATTCTTGCAATCTCGCTGTGGATCGTAATTGCAGTTCCAGTCAGGCATATCGATATAGTGCAATGCTCGAGTCCATTGCCAATTAATATAGTCGAAATGGTTGGAATTATCGTGAATGATGTCGTCGGCCCACGAAGCGACAGCTGTCAAGTTACCAAACACGAACCAAGGCAACAACGGTTTAATCCATTCGGATGCTTCCGGAGTCAATTGACTCTCAGCTAGACGGACAACAAGTGCGTGTCCTTCTAGACCCCATCCATGGACACTTGGTACAATTGCCTCAAGAATTAAAATAAACAACAAGAATGATGCAGTCATTTGACTAAAATGTTACTTGATAAAGATAACAACAGTATATTATTGATATGAATCTACATAAGAATTGAAAAAATGAAAACGAACTGCAAAAGAGGAGCAACAACGTGTCGCGTGTTATCGAGAGTATAAGTGGGCAGGCATTGTTTGGGAGTTTTGTTGTTTGTCTTGTTTTCATTCATATCCTATTAACAAAGAGTGTCCGAAATACGTAAACAGTGGCTTTGTTTTATTATCGTTTTATTTTAGAAACAAAAAGGAAAGAATGCTTGAATGGTAACATTAAATTTAGATAATTTATATTTAAAATATCATCACCAAAAACAGTTTCAATTTTAACTTTTCATTTAGTCTAACGAATATAATGTGATATAAATGGATCACATCAATGCCCAAAATATTTTCCTTATTTATTTACACTATTACTTTTACTTTTAAAATGTAGTCAATGATCTCAAAATAACAACAGATAAGAAAGTCTATTTTCAATATGGAGAAGAATATTTAAGAAAATATCTTTGATCTCGAACCAGAGCTGCGCAAGTCAAGTCAAGTCAAGCCAAGTCAGATCAAGTCAAGTCAAACCAGTCAAGTCAAACCAGCCAAGTCAAGTCTTGACTTGACATAATAAAAAAAACAATTTTCTATTTTTGGACGAATTCACTGTTTTCTATGAATTTTCCAGATTTTTAAATTTTAAATTTTGTGATCTTCGATTGTGTGATTTTTTAATGTTGAGTGAGAATACACCACGGTCAGGAAACAATAAAAGAGAAAATTTATTTATCTGTGTAAATATAATGCGTACAGAACAACAAAAGAAAAGAACATCAATTGTTGCAAGATAAGTACAATTGGAATCCAATTACACATATCTTGTAACAATTAGTTTTCTTTTCTTTCTTATCTGTTCTGCACGCGGCACTGTAACAATCGATAAGTGCTATAAAGACTTGTGACTTGGGAAACCTCTGACTTGCCCAGCTCTGTCTCGAACTAGTTGCTAATATGTTACTTTAAAGTATCATAAGAGAAGATATGTCAGCTGTTTCTATTTGAGGTGATTATTGGCTCTTACGAACTTATTTCACCTTGGATAAAGAAAATTCCGTCAAAATCAAACTAATCACTTGAAATTCTACATAAAAAAAGAAAACATTCGTATTTATATCAATTCGTTTTGTAGGATTTCATATGTCCTTTGTCTATTTTAGATGGAGCAAAAGAATTCTTATTTCTAATTATTTATTATAAAAAAAAAGCCTATTGTTTTACTCTGTGAATACATTTTTAGCTCAGCCATTCTACTGTGAAAACGAACGATTGTGTTGAAAATACAAATAGAAATCTAACTAAATAATCAAGGGGGAACAAACTGATTTCAATCTCTGAAATCAAGTTGAAATCAGTTAAAATCACCGAAATCAGTTGAAATCAACTGAAACCAAATGAAATCACATTTTGATTTTTGAAATCAGAAGTCACGAAATCAGTTTGTTCCCCCTTGTAAATAATATTAAGTCTTATGAAAATCTTGAAAGACTGTTTATTTATCCATGATTCCGTTGATCCAAGGTAAATAAGCCGATACACGAGTATAGACATTCGGCATATTGTGATTAACCATTTCACACTCTCTCTCTCCAAAACTAGTTACACCATCAACGACCCACTGACCACTATGTTCTTGTAGTAAAGGACCACCACTATCACCATTGCATACAACTGAATTCAGTGACGGGTCTCTAACGCAAATTTGTTTCTCTTTGTTGATATCTGTCCAGAAATGTTCGC